CTTGAGACCTAGCGTACGAGGTTCTCCGGCTATCCTTGTTCGCAGAGGCGTCGGACTAGTCGTCCTGGGAGCACGGCGTCCAAAGCCCCTTTTATGTCGAGCGTAAGTATAGAGGTAACTAGGCCTCTTTGCCAGGCGCACTCGATGTCGTGGATGGCCGCTGCGATAAGGTCGCTGTAAGAGCGAAGAGGGAGTGCTCCAAACTGTTGATCGTGCAGAACACGATGTTTAACTACGATCTAGGCAAGTCGTCTAGCGATGAGTCTCTCCAAGCCTTTTCCGAGGACGGCCAAGAGCGCAATTGGCCTATAGGAGCGCGGGAGTGTCTTGTCTCTTTTTCCCGGTTTTGCTAGGATCACGAGAGTTGCTTCTTTAAAACAAGTAGGATGCCAACCCTCGCGTATACACCCGCTATAAAGTGAGAGGATAATATCCTCGATAACTGGCCATGCTACTTTTAAAGCAGTCGTAGTGATTCCGTCGGTCCCAGGAGTCGTGTTTCCCGCGGTGAGAACCGAAGACCGTACCTCGTCCTTCGTAACCTGCGGGAAAGGAAGCGTAGCTTGCCTTTATAAGACTGGGCTTTCTATTAGTATATCCTCGGAGATTGCAGCGTTTCTAAGGAGGACGCGGGTAAATAAGTCGCGCTTCTCTTTTGGTTGTGAAACAAGCGTGTCTTGGTTATCTACATCTCGGAGTAGCGGGGTCTGGAAGGATCCTGTGGCTTTGTACTAACCGACCATTTCAAATATATCTTTACTTAAGGAGGCTAAGGAGATCTTATCTTTCCAAAAGGCATCCTTGGAGCGTTTAAATTCGTAGAGGAAGTCCTCTTTTAAAGCTTCGACCTCCTCTTTTTCCCATTAGCAGTTCACTCCGGCTACGCGGAGTCTTACTAACATCGCTCGCTTACTTACATAGGCTCGGTGTTTACGTATATAGCTTTCGCTCCAGTATAGTCTCCCTATACCTTTCCCGAGCGTACGCTTTGTGGAAGCCGTGAGTGCTTTAATAAAACAGTCCGTAAGCTATTGTGCTAGGAGATCTAAAGACTGTGGGTCTTAGATATTGCTTATAGTACGGCGCATGGGTTGTAAGTTGCGTTTAATGATGCCGAGGAAAAGCTCCTCGTCCATCGTGTCGAGCCGAAACCTTCCCGGGGTCTAGCTGGGTGAATCGATCAGGGCCAAGGGGACCCGGGTAAGCAGAGATTCGTGGTCTGATGTCGTGTGTAGTGACGTTTCTATGCCGGTGGAAGCCCCATGGAGGTTGCTGGACGCCTAGCATAAATCTAGGGTGTTGCCGCCTTTGTGCGTGGGTTCACCTATAGGTGACATTAGGACAAGGCTAGCGGCTTTTGCCTATTCTACTAGGTTTTCAGCGTCCGGGGAACTCGTGGCCTCGGGCTGCCACGTCCAATGGTGTAAGTTAAAATCCCCCGCAATCAGTACTCGATCCTCAGGTTTAGGTTGCCAGGCCGCTAGGATGTTCCTGAGAGCCTAGCCAGATCGCAGAGAGCCACGAGGGGCGTTTTATATATTAATAACTATAAAGACCTCCTTCGTTCCTGAGAGGAGTCGTAAGAAGAGCAGGTCTATGGATAGATCGGGTAGAGGCCATATTTATACGCCTCGTACCCTAGTTCCTCTACGGAGGTAGGTAAGTACCCTAGGACGGTCTTCGGTCCAGTTATCTACTAGGGTAAAAGTCTTAAAACCTAGGTGGTGTCTTGTGAGCCTCCTCTTTTCCGAACGGATAGACGGCTCTTATATTAGGAGTATATTGATCTAGGCTGCGTAAGCCAGGTTTAGTGCTATTTCGTAGGCGGATACCCGCCTGCCCATATTCGCTTACATAATTTATAGGGTTTTAAAAGGCTATATTCTTCTTTTATATCTTATTCGCCGGGGTATAATCTATCGCTTATTCTTCTTTACGGGAATATCGATGCGACTGCTAGGTCGCATTTCTCTATAATCTTTCTCCCTCAGCTCGGATGGCCCGTAGCTGAGCCTTATCCCTCCTCTGGACTACCCCCTTCACCACTTTGGGTTGGATAGGGCAAGTCGCATCGAAGGCGGCGTGAGGCCCGTTACACGACGGGCATTTAAAGGGGCAGTCGCAGCCATCGTGACCCTCAGTGCCGCCGCAGGGTGCCCGGTGTTGATCAGTTGTGTGGGAAGGAGAGCTGTACTTGAGGCATCTCTTCCTTCTGGTGTACGTTCGTTCGCTGTAAAAACCGCCGCAGCGGAGATATTAAGGAGACCTCTTCTCCTTCGGGAACTGCAGGTTTATAAAAACGCTGGCCCCCATTAAACGGAGGCGTCTTGGTAGTTGCCTTACGGCTTCCGCTTTGAACCAGGCTGTTACCGTGCCTAGCCTTTCGACTTCGTCCTTCCTAGAGAAGTGTGCTTTTTCAGGCTTGAGTTTCGTCGAGACCTGGATCTCTTCAAGGAGCTCCTCGGTCGTTATTTCCAGCTCAGTGTTGGTTACTAGATAATGCCTGGTGTAAGGGACGTTTGCGATATAAGCTCGGATCTAGGTATCGCGTTGCTCGATCGCTTGCGCTTAGAGAAGGGCAGCGATCTATTCTCTATTCTCTAGTAGGACTTTTATACTATCCATTAACGAAGGTAGGAGTGCTAATCCTATCTTAACATGGTCGATCCCCTTAAGGGCTTCTCGGGCTTGGGGACTTAGCCTTTCCTAAACGAAGATATATATATCGTAGGCTTTCTCGTTCCGAAGCGGGCTTTTAGGCGATAGACGCGCGAAGACGCGTAGATCCTTTAAGGCCACCCGGTTTGTAGCTTGTTTTGCGGCTTATTTGGCTAGCGTTGGTTTATCCTGTCTTCTGGATAGTGGCTAGCTCGCCGCCGCCGCGTATGAACGGACTAGGGGCGGCTGGTTCTGGGTTGTGTGCGAGGGATGCCCCTAGGAACTCAGGTCAGTCTCGCTAGGCCCTGTGCCAATAGCGTGCATAGACCTTGCTAGACTACGTTGATGCCGGTTTGAACGCTGTTTCTCCTCCTGAAGCTCTCTCTCCAAGGATTCGATCTTTGTCGCAGCGCCACACGTGGCGCTGCCGGTTACTGCCGTACGATACCGCTTTCCACAAGCCCATTACCCGTCTTGTACGGTATATAGATAGGACCCTCATACGGGTCTTCCACTTAGAGGAATCAAGCCACTTTCTACCATACAAGTCTTCCACTTGCTACCTCGCTTTGTGATAATCTTCGTTAAACAGTCTTTTAAAAACTGTTCCCTCTCGGCGTCCCGACGTAGGAGGTCCTGGACAAGATTCGAAAGCTTGTTGATCTCGTCTTTAAGCTCAGAGTTGTCCTGGTGGTTAACCTGCTTAACCACTCTGACCTTTATAGTCGGCTTCCGGACTCGTCCCGACCGCCGAGATATACCGGCGTCCCCGTGAACCGTGATCGATGGCCCTATATCTAGGGAGACCGCCATGGTCGTGGAATTCAGCTCGTATGGGCTGATGTTGAGAGATGATAGTGCAGTGGGCCGTAGCCCTCTATGATCTTAACAATTGCTAACAGTGGGTACCTTTCGAGGTATGTTCGTACCTCAAAGGGACGGACTCCGTATTTTTGGCATACGGCTTTCCTTATCTTATCATCACGTGACTCGCTCCATAGTTCTTCCGTTCCGTAGGGTGACGCATGTGTTCTCATAGTTCGTGCACTTATGGTGTGCCGTAGTCGCCGTGGTCCTGCGGGGCAGGCCCTGGACTTGGTCGTGCATGTTGGGTCGTAACACTAGGCCTCAGAGGGCTACAGATACACGGAGGCAAGATGTTCCCTAGCAGCTTCATACGCGGGAGCCACGCAAAAACCCCTCTCCTTACGTAGCCTACAACATTTCGAGGCCAAAGTCGAGAGTGGCACTTAGGGAGGTTAGTAGTAACGGCAGGCGTCGTAAACAGTCGCGACCCGGCTACTAGCAGTGTGGAGTAGCCCTATGTAACAATAATAAATGCTGGTACATCTATCACAGCCAGAATATATAGCAAACGAATGTACCAGATTTTTCTGGGATTTAATTGGCGAAGGGGGGCGCCGATCAGTATGCTGACTGGACATTACCCCTCACAAGTTGTACTGTAGTCCACTGGCACCCGATGGGATATGGAGAACAGCACAGTGCACTTCCGGGCTAGTAGTACCAATCCTGCTTACCCCAGTATATACACCCTGCGTAATTAACCTTCTATTTCTTATTTTAGAGGTCGTACTTTTCGACTCCTGCCCCACCCAATCGTCTCTGCAAGTGAACCAGCCATTTGGGAGCGTATCCTAGATCCGGCGTGAATGACTGTGGAAGAATAAGCGGGCCTATTGAGGGACATGCTTCTGTATAAAGAGATAGGGCTATTATATTTAGGATGCACTTTGCGAGGACTACCGGTGTTGATAGTGTACTACCTGCCCCCGCGATACGCCTCGACGTTGACGCCCAGGCGGATTCTTGTGCCTTCGTGAGTCCTTAGGCTACACAGGGCAGAATTGACTGGCAAGCGCAGCAGCCTGTGCATTTGGCCTTGGCAAATTCATCTCAGGCATCCACGCATGTTAAGAAACTGGCCTTCAGCAAATGATAGGTCGGAGCGGAAATAGTGAGGGGTCAGGCCCTGGACTGCAGCCGTTTACCGGTAATGTGTAGTTAATGTGAGGCTGACCTAGTACTTCACGTTCAAGAAGCAGGACTTCCCCTGCTGCTAAATTAATGCGTTTGTAATCTGTTGAAGCCCAGCGGAGTTCATACCTGCTATATAATCGATCCACCAAAACTTAAGCCGAAGATACGATCGCCAGCAGTTAACCGACGAAAGATGTACGATCCGAATACCAAAGAGTCAGGTGATGACGACGATAAGAGCGCCGCAGACAGCAAGAGCGGCTCGCTCGAGCATGGCCGCACCTCAGCACCTGGTAAGCCCCCTCAGAGTCTGGGATGCTAGTCTTTACTAGTCCTTTCTAATGGCGTTGTTAGACTCTGATGCCGATGACTTTCAATCCCGAAAAAAGAGAAAGAGTGGTGTTGATCGACCGGAGAGAGATGCTCCTGTCGTAACAGAGGACTATACTGTGGGCTGGGTGTGTGCCCTCCCGTTGGAAATGGCTGCCGCGAAAGGGATGCTCGATCAGGTTCATCCGAACTTGCCCTTGCAGGATCTAGCCGACCATAACAGCTACGTCTTAGGTCAGGTCCAAGGCCATAACGTCGTCGTCGCTTGCCTACCTGCAGGCATCTATGGAACAACACCAGCTGCCACGGTCGCGAAGGACTTGCTGCGGACCTTCAAGTCAATCCGGTTCGGCTTGATGGTTGGAATCGGCGGTGGTGTACCGTCGCGAGAACATGACATCCGGCTGGGCGACGTCGTGGTTAGCCAACCCGCTAAAATAAGTGGAGGTGTTATCCAGTACGATCGGGGGAAGACGATGCAGGAGGGGGAGTTCCAACGTACAGGATCGCTCAACGCACCACCCCAGGTCCTGTTAGCCGCCCTGAGTCGTCTCCAGGCCGACCACCTAATCGAAGACAGCAGAATCCCCCAATTTCTATCTGAGCTTATCAGCAAAAGCCCTAAAAAGATGAAAAAAAAATTCGGTCATCAAGGTGCTCTCTACGATTATCTCTTCCAAGCAGGATATGACCACGTTAGTCCAGACTCTACTTGTGATCAGTGTGATCATACGCAGACGATTCAGCGGGACGACAGAGATGACACAGACCCGGTTATTCATTACGGCAATATTGCATCAGGTAATCAGGTAATCAAGCATGGAAAGACACGCGACAAGTTAAGTCAAGAGCTTGGGGTGCTCTGCTTCGAGATGGAGGCTGCAGGACTACAAGATTTCCCATGCCTAGTCATCCGCGGTGTTTGCGACTACGCAGACTCTCATAAGAATAAACGGTGGCAAGAATACGCAGCTGCAACAGCAGCCGCGTTTGCAAAGGAGCTTCTTTCAGTCATACCGCCAAGCAGGGTCCTACAGGAGGAGGCGGTACCGCAGTTAGTGTGTGGTAAGTAAACAATTTCTAGCCTGAATATTCGTCCTTTTATAGTTATACGAAAGTCATTATTTGAATTTGTCTCCCTAGCAGGACCTTTCGTTTATGGAATATTTAGGCACTAATACCTCATGCAGATCCTCACCTTCATGAGCTTGTTTCTAACACAAATGCGGCCATCTCGGCACAAACGCAGAAGCAGGAGGTCAGATACGAGAGCCAAAAACAGGTTGATTGCCATCAAGCATTCAAAACGAGCGCGTATGAGAAGTTCAAGAACGTCAACCCTGACCGAGTCCTGGGCACATGCAAATGGGTGTTAGAGCATGCACGATACAAGAAATGGCAGCAGAGCCGTCAGGATGACCTCCTTTGGATTTCGGCTGACCCAGGCTGTGGAAAGTCTGTATTGGCCAAATCCCTTATTGACGAGGAGATACAACAATCCAACGAGCATACAGTGTGCTACTTCTTCTTTAAGGACAACGAGGACCAAAATAGACTCGCGACAGCCTTATGTGCTCTTCTCCATCAGCTTTTCTACTATCAACCACTCCTTATCCGCCAAGCTATGGCGGCCTTTGAAAAGAACGGAGAGAAACTGCAGACTGAAGTGGATGAGCTGTGGCGTATCTTTATAGCGGCTGGCAAGGACGATCAAGCAGTCAGTGTTACTTGTGTTCTGGACGCTTTGGACGAGTGCTGCCTTGATGACCGACGAAAACTCATTCAGTTTCTAACGAACTTCCATAACCACCCAACGATGTCGACGAGAAAGTTTCAACTCAAGTTCCTTATAACTAGTCGACCATATCAGGACATCGAAACTGAGTTTCGTAACATTCCTGAGCCTCAAACGATTCGTCTAGCTGGAGAAGAGAGTAATGCTGATATCAGCGAGGAAATCAACCTCGTTATTCGACACGAGGTAGCCACAGCCGGGCATAAACTCGGAATAAGTCAGGAAGTGCAAGATATGTTGCAAAAAAAGCTCTTCTCAGTTCCGCATCGAACATATCTCTGGCTTCACCTTGTAATGGATGAGATTTCTCACCGCCAGGTGTGGCCAAAAAGTGCGTTCATCAAGACGATCAACACTCTCCCAACTAAGGTGGAAGATGCGTACGAGAACATTTTAGGCCGCCTTAACCCTAATCAACGAGGAGAGGCGCAGACTCTTCTTCACATCGTTCTTGCCGCCCGCCGACCGCTCACACTGTTGGAAATGGCTGTGGCTTTCCAGCTGGCCCCAGATTCACCAGTTGCTCAAGCACACAAGGACCTCGACCTTAACTCCACCAATCTCAAACTACATATACGGCAGCTTTGCGGGCTTTTTGTGTTTATCAACGACGACCGAATCTACCTCATACATCAGACAGCGAAGGAATTCCTCACTAGACAGGATTTTTCCGACTATTCGATAGAAAATTGTTGGAGACGCTCCCTCTACAGACCAGATTCAGACACGATAATGACGCAAATTTGTGTTCAATATTTGTCATTTGGGGATATTCAAGACGGTCGGTTCCGTGCTGATAGACGGGAGCCAGATACCGATGCAACAGAATACCCCTTTTTGGAATATTCTGCAATACACTGGCCTTCACACTCGCGAGAGGCAAATCACATGAAGGAGGGCTTACAAAAGCAGATCTTGCGGCTGTACAACACACAGAATCAGCGATTCAAAGGATGGGTCTCGATCTTTTGGCAAAAACATTATCAGTACCTAGCGAAGGATGGCCTCAACAGTGTGCATCTGGCTGCATTGAATGGCCATGACGAAGTGTTATCTAGACTACTCGCCTCAGACGACACTGCTTTGAATTCAAGGGATGGGACAGGTCAGACACCACTGATTTGGGGGTCTTTCGAGGGTCGTCAGAAGACCGTCCAGATGCTTTTCGACAAGGGCGCAGATGTCAACGCACGGGGCGGCCCCTATGGCAACGCTCTTAAAGCTGCATCATATAGAGGCCACGACAACATCGTCCAGATGCTTCTCGATAAGGGCGCAGATGTCAACGCACAAGGCGGCTACTATGGCAACGCTCTTCAGGCTGCATCATATAGAGGCCACGACAACATCGTCCAGATGCTTCTCGATAAGGGCGCAGATGTCAACGCACAAGGTGGCACCTATGGCAACGCTCTTCAGGCTGCATCAGAAGGAGGCCATAACAACATCGTCCAGATGCTTCTCGACAAGCGAGCAGATGTCAACGCACAAGGCGGCTACTATGGCAACGCTCTTCAGGCTGCATCATATAGAGGCCACGATAACATCGTCCAGATGCTTCTCGACAAGGGCGCATATGTCAACGCACAAGGTGGCTACTTTGGCAACACTCTTCAGGCTGTATCATATAGAGGCCATGACAACATCGTCCAGATACTTCTCGACAAGGGCGCAGATGTCAACGCACAGGGCGGCGAGTATGGCAACGCTCTTCAGGCTGTATCATATAGAGGCCATGACAACATCGTCCAGATACTTCTCGACAAGGGCGCACATGTCAACGCACAAGGCGGCTACTATGGTAACGCTCTTCAGGCTGCATCATATAAAGGCCACGACAACATCGTCCAGATGCTTCTCGACAAGGGCGCAGATGTCAACGCACAGGGCGGCCCCTATGGTAACGCTCTTCAGGCTGCATCATATAGAGGCCACGATAACATCGTCCAGATGCTTCTCGACAAGGGCGCATATGTCAACGCACAAGGTGGCTACTTTGGCAACACTCTGTACGCTGCATCAGAAGGAGGCCACGACAACATCGTCCAGATACTTCTCGACAAAGGCGCATATTTTGGCCATCATGTAATCAGCGATACATAGTCCTTACCGGTGCAGCGCATATCATGCTACTTCTTCTAGAACCTTCTATTATGCCTCCAAACCCATTTCATGAGTCAACCGATAATCAATTGTTAATGGATTCTGCGTAGTATGTAAAAAGGAGCTTCTAACCGTATGTTGGGTGGGCAGTCGGAATCTATTTAGGGGCCGTAGTTGGCCCCTGCCCTGCCCAGCCCCGCCCAGCCCCGATGTCAATTTGGACTTCTAATCCGACAGTGCTCATGTACCGCCGCTAAACGGTTCCCACGTTAGATTTGACTTATCCATTGTCCGTACCGATCAGTAGCTGCGATCATGGCTGTATATAGTGAGGTGTACGAGATCACTAGCGACGACGATGATGACGGCGAAAACTCAGACACATCCGATATCATCGGTGACTTAGATCATGGCACTAGTTTCTCACGCAGCCAACTTCGGCCCATTGGAGGAGCGTTGATGTTTCTCAACTACCACGAGTGGGCCCCGGGCCAGTCATACGATGATCAGCTCCCCTAGTTGGATGCTCTATCTCATCGAGTGCCACTTGACGCCATTTTCGCCAAGGGCGGGGTACAGCCAGAGGTACCAGCAATCCCCTTGGATACATAAGGGTACGTTGCAGTCTAAGCAGCCCTTCCTCGTGTACTTACGCTGCGTGAAGCTATTCCCAGATATCTCGCGTTGTGCCTTGCCGGCCCTTAATGCCCTTGTATTACTACAATAAGAACAAGGGGAATTAACCTTCCGTGACCCCTTTGTATGGTGTTCCCATGGGATAGAGGTATTCCTTTTATCTATAGCCCGTCTAGGCCAGGACCTCTGCCGCCCTTGTGCTAATGGTCCAAACTGCTGGATAAGCTGGGCTGTAAGCAGCTAACGCCAGCGGTAGTGGGTTTTCACCTTCTGCCACCTAGGGCTGCCCTATAGCTGCAATAAGAAGCTATTTACAACTACTACTTCTAGTAGGAAATTCCAGGTAATTGACTGCCAGCCCCCTCGACGAATAGGGTAGCTATATTGATAATAGGACCTCATCTGGTAACTCATATCAACCCTATTTATCTTGTGGTTGTATTTATCAATTACCCTAGGGATTGGTAGGTCCTTACGGACGTCTGGGCTAAAGACTTGCCGGGCAGCCCTCTTGGCAGTGGAATTCCCAGCTGGGCGGCGACGGCTGCGAACAACCTCCTCGCTGTTCTGGAAGATAGTTAATAGGAATAGTACAAGGGCATTATCCTTCAAGGTAAACTGGTTAACCTATTTACTAGTTAGCGAGGTAGGCTAGGCTAGGCTAGGCTGGGCTGGGCTGGGCTGGGCTGGGCTGGTAGCTTACCTCCCCATCTAAAGTAGGGATACAGTATACTTCACCCCAGGGGATATCCCCTCCTTTAGTCTCTTTCTCATCAACTAAGGTCTTATCTATCCCACTATCCTTTCGGCAGGTACCAGAAGCTCCAACCTGTTGCTTCCGTAGGGTACGAAAGAGCCGTATAGAGGCGAAGAGGTTGTCAAGAAAGACGTGGTAGGTTGCAGCTGGAAGTAGGGAAGCAAGGGTAGTTACTGCCTGCTGTGTTGGTGTCAACAGAGCCAGCTTTCCAGCAGCCAGCCCAGCTGGCTGGGCCTGAGGGACTAATGCGTATGGGCCCCTTCCATGTACGTGCCACAGCCACCGTATATAGTAGCCAGACTGGGCAAGGATCCAGATCTTATAGCCAGTTAGAATAGGCTTCGTTGGAATCATTGTCTCAAGAGATCGACCTGTAAATCGAACCATAGCCTCATCAACTGTAAGATCTGAGCCAGGTGTATAAAAGGAATCCCCAGTCTCTTGGATGTGGGCTGACCACTGGTTAACCTTCCGGTATACATCTGGCATTTGATCTTGAGCCCGGCCCCGGCCCCGGCCCTGGCTGGGCTGGCTGGGCTGGTATTCAGCAGTATTAAATATCAGTAGTCGCCGGAGCAGTAACTAGTTGGAATCGGTTTCTAGAAATAAACCGCGTATATAGGTGGATAGGATTCTCTCTTTTGTTGTTGTTGTTGTTGTTGTTGTGTTTAACGCCGTGGCGGCAAAGGCGCTGCCGCCCTTGCAGCCGACCTCCCGAGGGGTATATGGCGTGGAGGGCCGTAGGCTCGAGCTATATACTCTATAGTACATGCCTCTTCCTAACGTCCTCCAAATCTTGCCCGTGGGCTACTATCTATTCTATCCGTCCTTAGTTCCCGCTGGTTCCCTAGCTCCGTTGTTACCGTCTGTCCCTCTAGGAGGAGAAATTCGTTAGTCGGGCCTAGGTTAAGACCTAGTCCTTAGTAACGCGGGCAGATCTTCTAAAAGAAGTCTATTATATAAAGAAAGACTTAAAAGTTAATAGAATTAGTAATTAACCCTTTATAATACCGTTTAAGAGATCCTATAGGTCCTATAGGATTGAGTAGGCTAGAAGGTGTTACGGCCAGCTAGTCGTAGTGAGGTTTGTTTGCAGAAGTTGAGGCTGCGGAACTGGTAACAGTATTCGTAGTCGTGGAATAGTTTCAAGGAAACTATGTCTGTCAATCGTAAGGTAAGGTAAGGCTTCGGTGATCAATCGTAGTCTTGTCAAGGTGATAGCTGAAAGCGGATGTTAATCCTGATACGAAGTTAATTGCTGAAGAAGCTATGGAAAGTCTGTCCTAGAGCCCAGCTCGAGTCCATCCTTATATACAAGTCCGATCCTAACTGAACAGTGCTGAACAGTTCCCTTTGTCTGGATATGTTGGATATGCCGAATATACAACATATCCTTGACTCGGTTGGATATGATGATGATGATGATGATGATGATGTATTTAACGTCTGGTAACAAAAGGACGTGCCGGGCGCTATGCCGACATGGTCTATGCTGATCTAAACTATATTACAGGCTACCGTCTTCACCTAACGTTCCTGTTCAATGACTCGGGCAAATTTCGGAAAAGAAATTAGTCTCCTCTATCTATTCGTATAGAAGAGAGGCTCCCTTAGTAGAACCTAACAAGAAATTAATACTTACTTTGGCCATACGTTAATAGAGGTAGCGCGGTATAGCCTTGCGTCCACGCTTACAGAAGTAGAAATGGACTGGTGTCTTGGGTTTCCCATAGCTACAGTTAAGTAACGTATCTTAATAAGCGAATCTCTCGTGGTATACTACAAAGCCTCCATGATGGGATCTTGCTGCGTATAGCCTTCCTAGTAAGTGCCGAGGGAGGCGGAGTTCGGGCGGCTTGGGGTGAAGAATTATCTCGAGGTCGGCATATTACCGAGGGCATTAGGACAGCCATTTTCTGGCAAAGGCTTGGAAGGTAGCTACTTTAGCTTGCCTTTCTAGGTGCGCTAATGAGGGCTGTGGTTGTGATTTTGGGATTAGTTTGCAGGCTTCCTTGGCTAGAGCATCCGCTTCTTCATTTCCTGGTACTCCCGTGTGCCCAGGGCACCACCAAACATAAACCCTGCCGGGGGTTATCCAGCTCTCTCTTTGTCTCCGAGTCTAGGAGGAAGAGAGCCTACTAAAGGCCCTAAATCTAGTCTAGCTGCTTCCTATGCTCTGGGAGTATAGTCTAGCTGCGACTGCGAGGTTGTCGAGGCAGATATGGACGTTATCTACCATACGAGCCGTAGGAGCCCGGGTAGCTTCTATTAGGCCGTAATACGCAGTATATACCTCCGCGTTATATACCTTAGTTTAGGAGCCGAGTAGTTCGGATCCGCGGAAGATCTACCGTATAGCTTAGTACCTTACCCAGCCTGCTCCGGCGGAGGTGCTATTGCCGTCCGATATCTAGGACCTGTTAGTATAGATAATAATGTCCCGCTTGGAGAAAGTTGCCATCCTGCCTATAAAGGAGAGGGCCTGTTCTTCTTTGGTCTTATTAGGTTCGTAGCCGACCCTGGCGAGGGCTGTTTGCTAGTCCGCTAGTTGCTCCCAAGGGGGGAGTTCTAACGGATCGATGTATTCGGTATTTTTGCTTACGAGGCTTGCTATTCGTCGTAGCCGTGAGTCTGGTCCTGATTTATCCCTGAGTCTCGTTCGGAGAGGGTATCGCTCGTCCAGACGATGGATTCTAGTGGACGCTGTATGGAGCTTCGCGTCCAGTATTACCTCTACTGGGGGTAGAGCCGCCTCGCGCTATAGGATCGGTATAGGCGTAGTTCTATATACGGGGACCATCGCTCTAATAGCTTTGGTTTGCGTCGCGTCTAGTTAGTATAATAGACTACTAACCCCGTTTAAGATAGTACGTCTATTCTTTATCCGGCTCTTACCGGGCCACTATGCTTTAAATATATAGTACTAAATAAGTAATATATAAGAGGTGATCGCTCGACGAAGTAAGTACGTAGGCGCGCCCTAGATAATATTCCCTAGTCCCCGTAGTCCATTGACTACTTAGTATACTTTTATAGAAAGGTTTCTTACGTAACTTTTAAATGTGAGTTTATGGTCGAATTGAACGCCGAGCTAGTATGAAGAAGAGCCTTCTTTAATGGCCTAAACTATATAATACCTCCTATCCGGTAAACTTACTATGATTGATAAGTTTCCGTCTTTTTGTTTCTTAGTAAAGTGGATTAGTTCGGACTTATCGAGGTCAAAAATAATTCCTTCCTTCGCGCCCTATCTTAAGGTTTCTTTCTATTCCTTAGTTAGGATATCATAATTATTCTCTAGTGATATTAAGCTTGCTAAGATAGCGACGTTATTAGTATAGGTAAAACAAGATCGCTTTCTTCCTAGGCGAGCTATACCTAGCTTAAAAAGAGGTTTAATATAGAGTATGAATAGAATAGGAGATACGGGTAAGCCTTATGGTAGTCCGTATTTGAGACCGAAGACGTCTCTTACTTCCCTATTAAGCCTTATTCTTGCTCTCCTTCCGGTAATAAAACTTGAGACCTAGCGTACGAGGTTCTCCGGCTATCCTTGTTTGTAGAGGCGTCGGACTAGTCGTCCTGGGAGTACGGCGTCGAAAGCCCC